GAATGCCTCAAAAAAGACCATGAAAGATCAGAACAAGAGGAAGCTAGGGAATGGCTGGGAGAAATGGGTTGGTGAGAACTTACGCGGAACACCAGTTTTCTAGGACTTGTCCAGACATTTTGTTAATACAATATGGCAGCACAGGTCACACTGTTTGTAAACTAGTTTGTAAGCTAGCTGGTGAACTACATGGTCCCCAAACCTAGTATGCTCACAACACTTCATGAGACAAGTCACAAAGCCACTTAAAACAGTTTACTTCTACTGTTGGTAAACCATTCTTGATTAACTGCGTTTAACTCCTGGCAACACAAACTTCTGCTCCAAAGCAAAGACACAACTGTTAAAAAGGACAGTGATAAACATTATCCAAGAAAACCCTTCCATGTCACACTCTCTGGCATTCCCACCACTATCTCTATAAATGAGAACACGGCATCTCTGTCAGGAGGAAAAAAAAGTAACAGCACCTCTACTGGATGTCACTTGCATCATCCACTTTGCCTTTGAAAACAAACTATGCTAAAGCTACATGGAACATCCTGTTCCAGCATTTGCTGAGCAGATCATCCCTTCCACAAATGTGCTCGAGCTGCCAAAACAGACAGCTCCTTCAAAATTCTCATCTGTGTTTCTTGGGGTTTTTCTTTCCAGTAGGATGATTTCATCTCCCAGAGAATGTGTACATTTCTTATAAAACTAAAAGAAGGAAATCTTCCCCGCATGTGACAAGGTTCAGTTCTTGCTGATTTTACAATGTTCAATTCTTTGCTGAAATTTTGCTAGTGGTTCCCTAAACACTTTACAGCACCTGAAGCAAACAGACCTGAATAAAATTCAACTTTCATTGTAAGTAACAGAGAGAACACAAAGTTGAAGTAGCCAGAACCCTAGTAAAGACCTCTGTATACCACCACTTTGTAAACTGCAAGTCACATGCTTCAGTTTGAGATTTTTTCTTTTCTCTCATACAGGTTACCAACAAGTCATGTTCTTTCACATCCTTCCCTCAGTTTACTGCAGAAAGTATTTGCCTGGGGCAAGCTGGGCCTAGTACCAACCTGATCCTTAGTTCTTAGTAAGCATATAGACCAGCAGTGTTGCCCTTACTTTGAAAACCAAGCCAGTGGGAGTGACAAAACCCTATTTATTTGAAATTTAAAGACCGCACACAGTTGGTTTTTTTTTTTTTTTTTGGAAGTTGCTAGCTTTCTCTATCAGGCTGACTCAAAACAGCAACTTCTCTAAGTGAACTCACCAGTAAACACTGTGTTTGTCACATACTTAAGATACCAAGAAAAAAAAGTCATGAAAGTTCCAACAGTAAGACAACATGAAATTTACTCATATACCCTTTCAAAACTTTAAATATCCAGTAACTGAGTTTTCACATACTGCTGTCCCCTTCCCATCACCAGTAGACCACAATTAAAACATCCTCATTATGGAAAATATCATGTACTTAAGTACTTAAAAGTAAATATTAAGCCTTGCTGCAAAACTATTGAGTTTAAGTATCACAAACAGAAAGAAAAAAGTATTATTCCCCTCCAAACCATTGTTTTATTTTTTGATTTATTTTTTAATGTTGTATGAATATGGACTTGGCAACTGTAAAGAAAAAACTTCCATCAGCTAAAACCAAGTTACAGGAAAGAAGGCAAATTCCTTATTATCTGGTCAACTCGTTCTGTTGGAAAGAAGAAAGTAAAGCAGATTTTGTGTATCTTCATTTCCTGCTTCCGCTGCAGCCCACTGGTTACCTATGCAAGTATTTCAAAGTGCAATTTTAAGAAACAGAAAAGCCTGCATGTGAATCCTTAAAACAGTATTTTTGAATTCTATAAAAGAAGGTTAAAGACATTATGATTCTGCTGATGTTAACCGCATAAATTTCAAATTCACAATGAACCACGTATGTAACAGGTTGTAATAGTATAGACTGAAGATACCTTCCCTCAAATACATTCCCAACTGAAGCTTTCTCAAGCTCACACTTTGAGTTTGGTTTGGTAAGGGTTTTTTTGGGGGATGCCTTTTTTTGTTGGGCTTGGGTTTTTTTTGGAGGGAGTAATTTTTTGTGTCTCTCCTCCCAAGATGCAGCTCTCAGTAATAAAGTTCTTGTACAGCAGGAACTCTACATTCCATTCAATCTTTTGATGCTAAAAGCATTTTACAGGTGAAAACGGTAAGGCTATTCTCCTATCACATTTTGACAAACTGTCTTGTTAAGTTTCATTAACAGGAAAGGAGGAAGTATTTTTATAAAGTGATATAAAACACAGCCAAAAATCTATTTTAAATCAATTGTGTCCAAGAGCAAAAAGATCAACGTTTTTAATTTGTAGCACTGTTTCTCTTAACAGAGAACAGATGGCTATGGTGGGAGATAGAAGTTCTGTGAATACACTTGCCAAGTTGACTTTGTTTTAAATCCACCTCAAAATGGAATGTTTCAAATCATGAAAGGGTCTAAAAGCTGCACATAAACATAATTTAATGTTAGACAAACACTAGGTATTATTAAGCATTACACTAGAACTATTTTGGTATAAAAAATACTTTATTTTAGAGCTATGAAAATTATAAAAATATGTAGTTAAACTTTCTACTCACAGAACGTCTGCTGTTTTAACATTAGTGATTTGATTCTCCTACCGAATCTGAATTTTATTTGAAAGGTTTACAAGACATTATGACTATAATTTAAAAAACACCCAGCATTACAGGGAGCTGTACTAATTGTGATCTTTTATCAGTACTCATTTAACCTCTAGATTTTTAATGAAGGCAGCAAAAACAACTATTTTCTGATGGTACAGAATTTCTTATTTCTTGAAGCGTTTCTGTGGTTGACCACTTCTTCATTAGTTACCTGCAGCATGGCACCTTCCTGCCAAAGAAAAAAAAAGTGTATCTGAAGATGTTTATCACATATCTCTAAACCAAATTACCAATAGGGGAACTTCAGCCTTTTTTTTTCTTTTTTTTTTAAAAAAGTATAAGCAGTTCACTGGTGTGTCTAACACAAAGGAACAGGACTTTTTTTTTTTCTTTTGTTAGCTGAGTCCACGTTCTTCAGTAGGAAGCCTTTTAAAGGCATTGGAAGTTGGAAAATAGGGCATTTTTTGGTTGCCTTTTTTGGTGGGTTTTATTGATTTTTATGTAAAACCCAAATATAGTAAGAGTATGCCACCCTTACTCTGAGTAACTTGTCCGTGGTGAATTCTCATTAATTTGAAGTGCTGACACTCAATGCAATGAGAGTAAGGCTGACTGAATTTGGCACTAAGGTTTATTAGCTGCAAGAACTATAAAAAATGGTGGAAACCTCAACATTCTAGCCAATTCCCAATTTACACAATTACATTATACACTTATGAAATACCACCTGTGGTTTCATTTGGAGTTTTCACTTCCCCTCCTAAAGAACTGCTTATGTAGTTGTTAAAAGAATGGACGACACATTCCTTCACAGAGGCAGATGTATTCTGTGGTGCATTTTTTTCCTTACACGTAAACAGTCTACAGTTACTTGGGAACCTTCAGGATGAAATGTGTTACACAAAATAGATTTCAGTAGACAAAGAGACATAACAACACAGTTCATTTTCAACAGCAGAACTACCTTCACTGCATTACCTGGCAAGCACCGTAATGCACAGACTCCCAAGAAAAAATAAAATGTTGCAGGATGCAAAAATAAAGTTGTACGATTTAATTAACTTGTGACCTACCATTTTAACTACCAACACCAGGGATGGAACCCTTGCAAAGCTTTACTAATGGACACTTGCAGGTCTCATTTGTTCAACTGTAGCAGTGTACAGTGGCAGCAGTCTATGCTTGTCCAGGGTTCATATCATAGCTAGATTCCAGTAGGAAAAAAATATGTTAAGTAGCTGAAATTAACAAAAATTTGGTTGCAAAAAATTTAATACAAGAAAACAGGATTCACAAATTTCTTTTCAATTGGCAATTGTTAATTCATTGCTATGTTAAACTACATAACGATAATCACTATACTGAAAGAATATACTGTAATACAATATTAGTTTCTCGGTTTTGGAACATTAAGAAAGGAAAAGTAAATAAGATCTTACCTAAAGAAGTTTAACTGAAGCTTAGAACTATTTTGCTCTACACCCTCAGCCTTCGTTGGCATCCTTATAAACTACTGTAGTTAAAGCTTTGCAGAAATACAGCGCAGCTTTTTAAGACTGGCTGAACTTAGTGACGTTTTCAAGAGTTCTCTTGTACTAGACCTGTGTCCCTGGAAGAGTACCTCGCTGGGGATATTTCCTTTCCTTGCCATTGAAGAAGCAGCATCTAAAAGATCTAAAAAGGTGTTTCTCCTTGCAGAGATATCCCTTAAGTTATCTAGATATTTTAAACCTGATCATTTACAGACAACATACTTTTTTCTGACCAGCATTTAATTTTACATGTACAACAATAGCTTTGTATTATTCGTGGGACCTTATACTACCCACTCCTTGCCTTATTTTACAATATTAAAAAAAAAATCTAAAATTACACAATATTTCCTTTAGAATTATTTTATTAAATCATAAATGTACAACAGCTTCTTAACTCTACACACGCACTTAAATTTTAAAAGGAAAACGTTATGTCTTATTACACCATGATCCTGGCTAATAGCTTTTCAAAACTTTGAGAAAAATCTTAAAAAAGGTTTCACATGTCACCTGAAACTTACAAATTTAACATTATCAAAGGAATGCTTCTACACTTACAAAGACCACTAGAAAGAAACAACAATTAAAAAGCTAAGAAACTGTCTCAAAGGCATTTTTACAATCCTTCCTCCACAGTAAGGTAATGTTATTAAATAATCCAAATCCATTCACAAAATGGCTCTCTGCATCTGCTCTGGTGTCTTCTGCCATATCACTGCATATTTATGCATGACTGAGATAAGTGTTTCCTTAACAATGTTATTTCGATAACCTGAAGCTGTTCTGTTACCTCTGGGCTCTCATCCTCTCCTATTTATACAGTGAAGCCTGTTTCAACAGAAGTAAAGAGTAAAAAAATAGGTTATGAGATTATTCATCTAACCATTTTTTAAAGGAAAGATAACATGATCCTAAAAAGCTTTTAACTCCTGTAGCTACTCTCAAGAATCACTGCAATTTTAACACTTAAAAACATACTTACCCATGGCATGCTTGCAGAAACTCAGTAACGGCTCCTCCCTCCATATCCACCACTTCCTCCACTGCCCCCAGGACCATAGTTCCCTGCAATTACAGAAAAACAAGAAACGTGACAGTTACATCAGTATGCTTTCTTACATTTAGGAATACTTTTGGTTCTGCATGAAGATTAACATTATTTCCCAGAGACAGCATATACAACAATGTTTTTCTACTTTGCTGTCTTCCTCTAAGTAGCCTGAAGTAACTGCCACAAAAACTACATCCTGACCTCTTGGAAGGTTCAACAGTGCCATGTGTAATTTGATGCAGTGTACTGTCTCGAGCCTGTGAGGGCTGACATTTGAATGCTAACACCTTACAAAAATAGGCTTTGTGCCTCAGTTTCTGTTTCACAAGCTTTGCACCATATTAAATAATATTTAGGCACCAAAAGTAGATGGTGTCAGAAGAAGTGATGCTTGCAGGGGGAGGAAAAAAATCCCAGAAAGTTTAGTAGACATTAACCAGACTTCCTACAAGTAGTGTGAGCTGACAGCAAAGAACATGAAACTTGGCTAAGACCTTTACAGACTGGAAACTGCAAAACATTTCACTGAATTCTGGAAAAAGCTAGTATCTTGTCATTTATCTTTAGAAAAAATAGTAGTAATAATTTTCTCCAAAACAAGCTTTATAAAGTGTCAAGATGAGAAATTGTAGCCAACTTGCTACAATGAGTACTGCATTCCATCTTCTCTTGTGGAAGTTACCCTATTTCTATGTATCAATCTTAGAATCATAGAATGGTTTGGGTTGGAAGGGACCTTTTAAAGACCATCTAGTTCTACCCCCCACCCACCATAGGCAGGGACACCTTCCACTAGACCAGGTTGCTCAATGCCTGGTCAACCTTAAACACTTCCCTTAAACACTTAAATGCCTTAAATGCCCTTAAACACTTCCAGGGATGGGGCACCCACTTCTCTGGGCAACCTGTTCCAGTGTCTCACCACCCTCATTGTAAAGAATTTCTTCCTTCTACCCTCTTTTAGTTCAAAACCAGTTACCCCTTGAACCTTCCCTTCCACCTCCCCAAAAGACTAAAAAGCCCACCCACTCTGGTTCCAAGGCAGGTCAGGACATAAAAAATACCTCCACCATATGGTCCCCCCATGTTCCTGCTTCCACCAAAATTTCCACTCTTCATTGGACCATAGTTTGAAGGTTGTTGGTTGTAGTTTCCAAAATCATTATAGTTTCCACTTCCATAATTGCCTGTGTTATCAAGACAAAAATGTAGAAATACTCAGGTAAGCTAAATCATATATGGCACTCAAAGTTATCTCACCATCAGAATTTTAAATAAAGTACAAAAATCACACGTCACTACTATGTGCAATGAACTGCTTTTTCACAATTTCATACTATGCAGAAAACAAGAGTTTCCTTGAACATTTACACCCCCTACTCACCCACCACCCACCTCAAATGAATTGCACTAATTTACAACTGAAATGTTAGGTCATTTCAAGTCAGTAGGTTACCTCCTCCATAGTTGTCATAACCACCTCCATAGCCCCCACCCTGGTTGCCATATCCAGGTCCTCCTCCACCATATCCTCCTCTTCCTCCTCCATAACCAGGACTGCCACCAAAGTTGCCACCTATGACAATATAATCCTTTAAAACAAACTTTTCAGTATAGAAGGGCACCAAATTATGCAGAATCAGACTGTAATTTTCTGTTTAGAAGTCTACAGGGGAAGAAAGAGTAGGAATTCTGTAAAGAAATTTCTATGAACACTCTTTTTAAAAGCACATACCAAATCTTGCCCTAACTGAACTGCAACCAAAACCCACCAGTCAAGACTGCCTAAAAGCTTCAATTAAAAGGCTTAATTAAAATCCTGACTTTTCACAGGAAGTTTAAGGAACACTGTCACTTTAAAGAAAAGGGTACAGTTGTACAAGAAATAACCATACAATTTACCATATAAAAGCTTAACATGAGCCAACAGCTGAGTGTGCTTCTTAAAGCCAACAAAATGGCCTTGGCAATTAATACAGATTTTATACAAATTGTAAGTGAATGTAAAAATACTTCTGATAGAAAAATAACTGCCACCACTGTAAACTAACCTCCAGGTCCTCCACCATATCCATTATATCCATCACCGAATCCACGGCCACTTCCATATCCATCTGTTGGAGAGAGAGAAAGGGGGGGGGGGAAGTATTTCAATTCACCTGTAGCAAACTAATTGAATTCTCAAATCCCTATGACCTTAAGCACAAGACCTCAGAGATTATTAAGCACACGTACACACACTTGAATTTAGAAGAATGTATGTTAAATAACACATTCAATCATCGCTTTACATCTTTCATTCTCTTGCACTCGTAAGGTACCCAAGTTTTAATTCTGGACATGGCTCTTCCACTGTAAACATCAGGCAAGTGCTGCATAGAATTGCAGAAATGAAATCTCTGAATTCCATACAGAATTATTAAGTTTAATTTTGGCTTTTAGTAATATCTTAAGAAAAAAAAAAAATAATAATTTACTGAATAGCCACGTAATCAATATACATACTATGGAGAATGTTTGCAAATCATTCTTCCCGAGACTTCTCCAACTGTTACAGCATCATTTAAACTAAACCATAGTAGCTTAAAAAATTACTCAGAACTAGAAAGACAGTATACATAAGGAGAGAGAAAAAAAAAAAAAAAAAAAGAAAATTAAAGTGCTACAAACATGCCTGTCTTACCGGCTCCCCCTCTGAAATTGCTGCCAGGTCCTGGACCAAAGTTGCCACCACCTCCACGTGCATCACTAAAACCGAAGTTACCTGTAAGTTTTAAGATTTGTAGGCAGTGAGATCATGCAAAGTGAACACAAACACCAAGCACAAACCATTAACCATTACTTGTACGTACCTCCTCTCCCACTCCTAGAATTTTGAACTTCCTGCATTTCCTGTCTAGAGAGAGCTTTCCTTACTTCTGCATTATGGCCATTGATAGTGTGGTACTTCTGCACTGTTAGCACATCAAATAGATACTATCAGCATTTAAGTACTGATCTGGCAACAAACAAGAGTATCATGCTTCCAAAAATTAAGCTATTTCCAAATTAATCCATACATATTCCAGGAAATTAAAACCAAACTCCCCAAACAAAGGAAATAACGAATAAACAAAACAAAACCAACCAAAAAATGGTGGAGGGGTGAGAAAACAAAACCAACAAACAAGAAAAAAAACAAAAAAAGAACAAAAAAGCCCAAAAAACCCAAACAAGCAAAAGAAAAAAAAAAAAAATCACAAACAAAACCCCCCAAAAGCCCATACCATTTTGTAAGCAAAGAAGCCAGTACTTACTAATTTAGTTTAAGTTTAGCTTTACACCATTACCATGACTGCAAGGATTAATACTATCAAATGAAAGAATAAAATGAAGCTTACTTACATACAATTTTATCAACTGGATCATGGTCATCAAATGTAACAAATCCAAACCCTCTCTTTTTACCAGACTGTCTGTCAGTAATGATTTCAATAGTGTCGATTTTTCCGTATTCCTCAAAGTAGTCACGAAGGTGGTGCTCTTCAGTGTCCTCTTTAATACCACCAACAAACAGTTTTTTCACGGTAACATGAGCACCAGGTTTTCCAGATTCCTGTTAGAATTGGTTTATATTACCACAAAGAAAAATAATTTCACAAATCTCTATTTTGCCAGGACTTCAGGAATGGAATACTGATACACTAAGATTTTGCCACTCGAACTGAGATAGCCCCCTTTACAATGCATATCCCTGCGACTTGCTTGGGAGGCCTCCTGAGAAGGAAGTAACATGGAGAGATTACGAGGTTTTTCCTCCCACCTTTCTGTCAGAGCCTTAAAAGCACTAAAAAGTGCTATAAGATAGAAGCACTATAAATGCATGAAAGTCAATAAAAAGCCTCTAAACATACATAAAATACAAGAGCAACTGTTCGAAAGAACTGCAAGGTTTTGATAACTTAAACTAGAGCACAATTTTTATAACCAAAACAAAGATGTGTCAGCTTCCTCCTCCCTTCACCCAACAGCAATGAAACCCACATTCCACTGGTATGAACAGCAAAAGTCCTTCAACCTCAGTGAACCCACAGCAGTGCATTTTAAGCCTTATTCAAAATATGAAGCAGCTCCTCACACTCACAGACTATTTGCACTAGGTTAAGTATGTCTTATTCCTAAAGTTTCGCAATAGCTTTGAGTGTATAAACAGTACGCATGTATGCTGCTTGAATTACCCTCTTCCAAATGCTAACCAACCCTGCATTCTGCAGGGAACAGAAACTAGTACAGCTAACACGGCTACCAGTGGTTGCTACTTCCATTTCCCTTGACCTCTTGGACAACTCATTCAATTCCAGTTCATCAGTCCAAATGCATTAAACACTTCCAGAGCTCCCACAACATGGCAAGCAGACGTAACCTAGAATCTGCACTTGCTCAAGTACCTCTGTGCCATAGTTACCTGGCTGAAAAGTTTATAGGTTCACTGCATTCCGGTGCACACACCTAATTTGTACCCTGAAGTTTAAAAACCAGTGTGCCTGTGTCTGAAACCCGAGTAGTCCTAAGGGGATTTTGTACACCACCACTCGAAAAAAGAAGTTTCCCTATTACACTCTCTGCTTTTAGTCACTTTGGTTACATACTTTTTAGAAACACTTAAGATGTTGGAATAGAGGCAGAAGTGATTGACAGGAGTTTATTAATTTGAGGTTTAGTAACAATAACCACTTCAGAGAAGAATTATTTTGGAATGTGTGTAATTACAAGCGTTCAACATTTTTTCGCTAACAATACTTTCAGACCCCAGTTGCATCCCTTGCAGACACAATTCTACAACCAGAATAATTTAGTAATTTACGTAATAATAGACATTTACACAATAGTGTCATTTAACAGACCAAAAATGCAGGAAATAGTGCCCCTCCTATACCTTTTAACTAGAATACAAACCCAGGCAATTTCAAACAACAAAGCATAACTGTCCTACCAGATACTCATTTTCTAAAGCATGAAAAATACCTGCTTTCAAAGCCACACTTACCTCTCTAGCCACAGCTCTCTTGGGCTCAACCACCCTTCCATCAATTGTATGAGGTCTTGCAGCCATGGCTGCATCAACTTCAGCCATGGAGGAGAATGTTACAAAACCAAACCCCCTTGATCTTTTGCTTGCAGGATCCCTCATAACCTGAAAACCAATCACACATTTAGACAATTTCTACCTGTCTCATGTTAAGCTTAAAAACTAACATCACTTGGAGAAAACATGTAAATTTCATTTACATGTTTGATTTCATTTCTAAACAATTGTAATGAAGTAGCAGGCTATGCTAAATGTGCCATACATGAATGGCACTGCTTGGCAGCACTGAAATTCAAACCACTATTGTCCTCAATGACTACCTGTAAGTCTGAAATGCTCCTCTCTTTTAGTCACATTCATTTATGATTGTTTTCTCAAAAAATCAAACACAAAATTTCTTTAAGCTTTCTGAAGACGACAGACTTTATGAAGCATACATTTATTGTTCCTAAAACAGACCCAGTGGAAGAACTTCTGCAAGAATCACAGTCTCTAGAAGTATTTAGAAGATATACAGACATGGTCCTTAGGGACATGGTTTAATGTTGGACTTCGCAGGGTTAGGTTAACAGTTGGACTCAAGGCTTTTAAGGGTTTCTTTCCAACCTAAATGGTTCTATGAAAACAACATACATAAAGACACCCTTTTCCAGCTTTGATGAGGCTGTTTACAGTATCAGCTTTCTGCCAAAGGTTACCAATCACACAGATGGAACAGTTCTCTGTGTAAGCACTCCCTAATGTACTTCAACCAGTGACACCCAAGTTAATTTTAAACTGTTGAAATCAGTGATTAGAGATAATCTGAGAGATTTAACAGGAAACACTGTGAAATCTTCCTAGAGTTCACAAAAGAAAGCCTGTGCACAGCTTCGATGGACTGGATTTTGTACAACTCAATCTACTGTACACTTAAGAAATTTCATACTCCATCTTTTCATTAAGTTGCCCAGGAAACAAACTCCCCACTTCTACAATTTCTAAACATTCTGTATCATCTTCGCGTATTAGCATGCCAAACTTACCACGCAGTCTGTAAGCTTTCCCCATTGCTCGTAATAACTCCTCAAGCTTTCCTCTGTTGTTTCAAAGCTTAAGCCGCCAATGAACAGTTTGCGGAACTGCTCCTTTTCCCTCTACAGAAAAAAAGATTACATTACTGTAATTAACAATATGCCCTCTGCACCAGCATAATTAAGACAGTAAGATACATCGTGCCAAAACCCCTTATTACACCATTTTTCAAAACTAGGCATGGCTCTTTTAAGTGTTCTACCACTGCTCAAGAACTTAAGTGACTTATTTAATTATATAGGCCCACTTCTACCATACAGATTTTAGTAACGTATTCTTTCCATCTCTCCCTCCAAATATCAGAACAAGGGGCCATACTTGAAGACTTCCAGAATATTCCTATCGAAGAACTTTCGGAGATGTTTTTTAAAGAAAAGGAGAATAAAACCAAAACTTCTCATTACGGATAACATGAATTCATTCATACTGTCCAATTCTATTCCAGACGGTATTTATAAAAAACCCTAACATTCTGGCTCAAATTGTTGTACACGAATACCATTCATGCTACTTACCCAAGGCATTATAAAGTAAAATGTTCTAAAATAGAAAACCTTCTTATTGTTAAAACCAATGGAAGAGCATCTGTAAAATTAACCTGGGATCCTGTATGACTGAAATTAATGGTAAACCTATACACCCCCAACAGCACCAGTATCAAAACTAAGTGGATTCCCTTTGAAATAGATGCGAGTAATACATATCTGCAAATGTATTCAGTAATATAAATGATGTCTTTATTAAGACTCTGTTCTATTACCTTTCAGAGATACTATCACTGCACTTGTTCAGCAGAAACTCGTATGTAAAAAACAAATAATAAGGTATTACATTTACTACTTTGTATGTGGTGTTAGATCAAAGCAGGAAGGACAACCTTCCATCCTCTACTAGTTTAAAATACTCTTCATACTAACTTTTTATACTGAGCAGGCATCATAATTGCAAGTTTCTACACACCGTTTACATTTCTCAATTTCACATGTCCAACAGCACTATTAAAAAAAGTGCACCAAGAAGTGCTCTCTTCCACAAAATCTATGATTTCAGAATGTTCTTTGAAAGAATTGCCCTACTAAGGACAAGATAATGGAAATGCAGTGATTACTTCAGCTTTATACTGTTAACTAATTTTAAAAGTCAAGAAATGCTGCTTGGGTGTTGTTTTGCATCTTCTTTTAAGGTGGTGGTTGTTTTTAAAACAACCTATGCACTGCATAGTTAGCTGTAACTAACAAACAACATAACCAGAACATTAAGATAAAAGTAAAAAGGAAAGTGGACAACCAATAGCAAACCATGAGATTTGGAAAACAAGCTAAATAGCTCAGTGCACAAATGCTTCAAAAAGCATGAAGCCAATCTGCGCATGGACCACAATGTTTTCCAAGGCTGTCCAGGGCAGGCCTGGATCTAGATGCATGTAACAGGAAGACAATTACTGTAGGTAATATTGAATCAAGTTTTGTTCAAACACATCACCCTATTACCAGCTTGAGATGCTGCAGTCTCACAAAGAAGTCAACTGTTAGAAAAACAGAACTTTTTTTCCACCCAAAGTAAATACTGTATTTGAAAATGATCACTTTAAACATCTCTTAGAAACACTTTGAATCTACTGTTGGATGTAGTAAAGAGGCACAGAGGAAGCTAGTACTGTCATCCCCCACCCCATACATACAGGCAAAATTAGACAGTTTAAAAGCAGCAAACTCATGCTATGTCAAGTTTCCCCCACCTCATCTCTTAGAAGGAATAAAGGATGCTGCATGCCAAACTTAGACTAAAAAATCATATGCTGAAAATCATATTATCGCTTATAGTTTGAGTAGGCCAGCAGAAAAACAATTTTAAGCAATGATACTGCCAAAACACACCCCCCCCCTTTAAATTATTTCATATCTGCTGCTTGAAAATTATTAGGGGCTACTTGCTACATAGGCCCACAAAAGACACTTTTCGCTATATAATTAATGGTTATGCATCTAATAATGCACGTTTATATTCTTATACAGTTTTCAAATCAAGCAAGTAGGCAGGTGGGATTTTTCCAGTTAAGTGTTAGGTTTACCTTTGAAAACAGTTATAAACATGTAAATGAAACTCAAGGAAAGAATGGCATCTACTAGCTGAAACAACTGCATTTGTTTTTAGAAGGACAAACATATACCACACATTATGAGTAAGTATTAAACAAGATAATAACACACTTCAGACATACGAATTGTTAGTAACTGTAATCTACCATGTATTAAGTGTCATGCAGTACATGCCCTACCCTACCCAGAACAACATCAAGGCACCACACAAGTCAGGACACAGCAATAAGTGCATTCACACTATCACTTCTTCAACTAAACCCACTGTGTGACAGTATCATAAACATGTTGTTCCACTGATACACGCACAGCCTCTGGATGTGGAGAGACTATCTATCTTGAGTGTGTTAGTTTTAAGAAGCTCTGGTTAATCTAAACAATAACCTCCCACCAGGGTCCAGAGAGCTCTGGCCATCTGAAGTTTATGCTGAAGCTGTAAAATGCACGACAGGAAATAGTATCACTTCAGTCCTCCTCAGAATTATGTTGAAAATCCTCATTTGGTAAGAACAATCCCACTCTGCCAAAGTCAAAGTCTAAAAGCTGTAAAAAAGCCTCTTTCAAGATATACACAGTACACTCTGTGGCAGGAACGGAGCACCAGAGGAAATCTTTATGAACTCTGTAGGGTCTTCATTAGTGCTTATTTTAAGCCTTCTTTCACAGGCTTAAAACAACACCTGAAAGGGCTGAACAGTGTGTAGCCTTTGCTGGAAAATTAGTCATCAGAGCAAGAAAACGTGTCTCATACAGCAATAATGTGTACACAAATACTCCAAGCTAACTACAGACTTCTTCCGATTTAAGAACCCGAGTAACATAAATGGTTAACAGAGACAACCGAGTGGGATGTCTGAATTACTACGACTAGGCCTGCCAAAGCGAAGCTGGGTTTAGAGGTCCCAAACTGGAAAGACACTGCTCCTCCCGCTCTAAGTGCCCCGTCAGCCTCAATTCGTTCACCAGGGCTTTGCGATGTAGATTCCTGGTTCTCTCCCTTCCCCCGCCTGCCGTTATCAGGAGTGAAGCGCTGACCGTGCCGGCTCCGCCATGTGGCGGAGACCAGGAGAACAGGGCCCCGCAGCTAGGAGGGGAAAATGGCGCCCAGAAGCAGCGGTCGCCTTCGGAGACAGCGATGCGGAAGGAGAGAAACAACTTTCGGGAGGACCGAACCCGGATGATAAAAAACAACCAAAAAACCGCCCACAAATAAACCAACCCCAAAGCAAAACAAAAAAGCCAGCCGGGACCCCAAGGTAAACGGCAACCAAGCGCTGCAAACCGCTTCTAACATGCATCTAGCACGCACAGAACCAGGGAAAGGGCTCATTTTCGCCCCGCTGATACGACACGACCACAGCTGCCTAGCCCGGCCCCCCCCACCTTACTACCTTTCCCGCCGCCGGAGCCATCCTCCCAGCCCCACGCAG